GAGATTTAGCGCTGGAAGACAGCGTTTATGTCTGCGGTGATACCCCCTTCTTCCAGTTTTTGAATTTGTTGAAGAGGCAGGTAGGAGAAAGTGTGGAGCACTTTCCTGAAATAAATTTATGATAAATATTTATATATGATACAATAGAAGTTGCATAGAGAAGTAAAAATCTCATTTTTATGTATATATTAATTTAGTTTTTACTTATTTTTGAGATTTTTCTATTAATTTTTATTTGAAATTATGTTTACAATTATGTCTATGTTTATTATGTGTATCTATATGATCATCTATATGATCATCTATATATAATTTCAGTTTGAATGAAGAATTGATTAACTTAAAAACCTTTCTTTTTGCAGCGCACTGTAACTATACATCAAGTCATAATGGGTTGAAGGCTTTAAAAAACTATTATGCATCCTAGACCGTTTGAGTGCACATTAACCAAAATGTAGCATCGATGTAAACAGGATTTCATTTTCGTTAAATTATTCTTAACAAAAGTATATTGAGCTTTGTCTCAAAGAGATCTGATATCTGTTTTGCAGGGTTTCAAAACACAAGCAGCCATTAAGGCTGCGCGAGTTTGGCTTTGATAATGGAGCTTCACCTGCTCCGCGTTCCCTGCGGCTTAAAAGCTGTTTCATTTTAATTTTCCTCCTGGGCCTTAATGAGTTAACTTGAAGGGCTAAAAGTGAGATGAACGGATAGACTTTTGACGATCAAGACCGTTAGTTCAATTACCCCTCTCATGCTAAGCAATTCTCGGGAACAAAAAATGTGCAAGTTTCTTTCCGCGAAAAAAAAAATGCAAATTTGCCATGTATTGAAAATCATTGAAAAAAAATCTAAATTTAAAAGTCAAAGCGTTGGTTATAAGGCCTGCGCTAGTCAGCAACTCAGCTTTTAATATTAAATTCAATCTGAAAATCAGTTTAAGTCAATTAGTGTATGCCTCTGAACGGCTCTCAATGACATCCGTCCTAAGGCAAATTTCCAGTCTTTCTTCAATCCGGTGCCAATAACTCCTCGCCCTAGCTTTTAACCACCCACAATTTCGTACCGTAATCTATATTAAAAGCTTTGTTTTGAGTCTAAGCTAATCAAGCTGTCTCTATTTGCATCAACAATACCTAAACAATCTTAAAATCATCGTACTCTGTCTACAATTACTAATACGAATACCCCAATTTTAATGGCTTGGACAAAGTCTCGGTTAACCAGAAATACCTGAATTGATGTCTTCTGGCAATGCCTTCTTCTTCCTTTGCGAATAGCGACGAATAGCTGCATGAAAATCGTCTTCGATACGTGGCGAAGGCTGAAAGCGTAGCAACTCAACTTAGGGTAGGTTGCTTAATGAAACAACATTCTACTCAC